ACGTTGTCATATGAGCAAAAAATATTCTAAAGCACGACGTTAAACCCAATTTCACCTCACCTTCACCTCACCTCACTTTCTAAAAGTCATTGTGTGTTCATGTTAGAATATAGATGATATATGTACAACCCGTTCCTCTTCTAACCGAAAGCCAAAAAAAATAGACTTTGAACAAATAGACAATACATGTATTGTATTTCAATCCGCCTAAACTCACAAAGTTAGCAATAATAACCGCCAGAAAACAAAGAAGTGGTTCCAGCTGCTTATTGAGCAACGTTACACCGTGTCAAGCTGGGATTAGTGACAGATACTGCTTGCGTCATCGCTGAACGTTACGTCATCTAATGTTTTAGTAGTTAGCCTTGTAATCTTATGCGTACCTAATACGTAATAGCTAGGTCCTCCCAAAAGTTAGACGTCTAACTTTTGGGAGGACACCATATCTATGCTTGTGTGTGTGCTGGCACTGATTCGACCTCCATTTTTAAAGTTTGATATGACAGACACTAAGTCGTCACATTTAACACAGGCGTTACCGTACTACATCCCAACAGAATACAACTTAAACAGAATAATAAGAATACACAAATAATATAAATGTTCAGTCTGCTAGTTGAATCATATGACCACATCTGAATAATTATCTAGACTATCGTGATTTACTAAAGATCATATGCCGAACGGCATGTTATTGAAAGTGTCCAACGTATACATAATTAGAGTGAGTGAGTTTGGTTTTACGCCGCTTTTAGCAATATTCCAGCAACATCACGGCGGGGGACACCAGAAATGGGCTTCACACAATGTACCCATGTGGGGATTCGAACCCGGGTCCTCGAGCTTAACGATACTGAGAACGTAGCAATATGTGAGCAACAGAATGAAACAACAAGGTTTATGTGCGCTCAATAGTTTTGCGTGTACCATATAGTAACCTCACATAATATGTACATTGTTTAAACATCGGTTGATGAAAGGTAGCATGGAACATTTGAATTAAACACATATAATAATAATTTAGAAATACATTCACTGGCATACACTTTGATTGTAAACACGCAATAATATATACACATGTGCACAAGAATTACTTTGCTTCCACGAGCCCGATTATATGTAATCTTGATTTACTGAACTTATATAATGTCTAAACGTTACTATATTATACTGTAAACTATTTTGATGTACACTAAATTGTTAGATTGGTTCTACATGGTCTGACCTAAGTATGATACAGATATTCACTGTTGTACCTAGTCAATACTGCATAGTTTAAATGATAATATTGGTATAAACTAACAGTATGGAACGCAAAAGAAAACAGAGAAAATATGAACATAATTTAAGACATACAATGAATGAATTGAACATGGCTTACCTTCAATAACCAAGAGAAGCATCGATTAGTGGCCAGTCTTTATTCGGTGCATTTCATGAGTGAAATACCCGAATAAAGGCCATTATATATACCACCGATGCTCTCAGAGTTCGTGATATGGTCGCACGTTCAACGGTCACTTTAAACAATACTTACACATGCTGCTAATCTACACTGCTGACTATCTAAATCTTAAGATCACCTCGTAGTTTTGAAAGAATTGAGAATGCAGAAATTAATAAATTATCTAACAGTTTTCTCGGAGAGCGTGTTATCATAGAGTAATGTTTACTTCTCTCTCCGGTCATGTCGTCTTAACAATTAGTACGTAAAGCTTATCAAAAAACTTGGGGACAAAGACGAGCGTATATCGATACTGACAGATTATAGACTTGGGCCGGACCATGCATGTAGTCTTAAAGCTTAACGCATAATGCTAATTATCTTACAACTTGGAAAATGAAGATCAACACTAACTGAGACAGCGTTTAGTATTCTCGATATTGAATAAAATATACAAAATGTGCTGTTTAGTCCTATTTTATAAAGTCACAATTATTTATATAAGATTGAGGAAAATAGGACGTATTTTAGAACTATGATAGCATGATAGGATTTTTAGATATCGATAGAATTTTCGTTGATGCTCTATTTGAGGACGTTCGAATATAACCTGCCATTTTTCTGAAACAGACGCAGTTTGAACTTCGCTATTGCATGTCTTAGCTTAAAACAGATAGAGGATCTAGTTCGTGTTTCAACTGAGCCCATGGTTTTGACATTCTAGTAACAACTGAGCAAAGCATTCAGGATGATTCCAATATACGATACCTTGTTAAAATGCTTTCCGTGATCAAGCCTGAGGCTACATTTCATTTTAGTATGAGAATGGCTTTCGTGGATTTTCGGTTGAATTTTTGATAGTCATATGCAGATCTTTCTTCCGTTACCCACCGGACTTGCCATTTTGGGGTTATGGGTAATTTGATTTTGATCTCCTGTTTGTTGAAGGGACTGATTGGGTCGTCTTTTGCTTTGTTGTGTTGTTTGGTTGTTGTTGTGTGTGTTTGTTTTGTTTGTTTGGTTGTTGTTGTTTGTTTTGTTGTTGTTGTTGTTTGTTGTGGTTGTTTCTGTGTGTGTGTGTGTGTGTGTGTGTGTGTGTGTGTCTGTCTGTCTGTCTGTCTGTCTGTCTCTGTCTCTCTCTCTCTCTGTGTGTGTGTGTGTGTGTGTGTTTCTTTGTTATAGTTGTTTGTTTTGGACAGGGGGAAAGGTTTTGTTCATTACTGATTGGTAATGGTCCAGCTGTCTCTAGGGGTACCATAAGAAGTGCCTGGAATTGCCTGCCATACTTTCAGATCTATGACATCTGTTTTCACCAGCACCGTTCGAGGCGAGACGCTGATCTGGGATATCAGATATTTTGCGTATTTTCGAATTTGACTCGTTTACTTTCTATGGGTATTCGAGGGGCGATGGGGTAGCCTAGTGGTTAAAGCGTTTGCTCGTCACGCCGAAGACCCGGGTTCGAATCCCAACATGAGTACAATGTGTGAAGCTCATTTCTGGTGTCCCCCCGCCTTGAAATTGCTGTAATATTGCTAAAAGTGGCGTAAAACTAAACTCACTCACTATGGGTATTCGGGGAACAGTCGAGATTATCCGAGGCAAAGTCTGAACATTTGAACGGTGTACATTCCTCCATCAGCCACTGCATAGACCAACATGGGATGAGGATGGGGTGGAGTGTTTTTCTAATTGTAAAGCGCTACCTGTATAGGTGTGTGAGGAAGGTGGTTACTTTTCCAAGTGAAATGGAGTTGCCACCGCAATGTGAGGCGAGGTTCACAGCGGCAAAAAGTGAAGACAATTGAACAATTGCTGACATGGACAAAAGGTGTGGGACCTCCCTGTTTTAGAGAAATGAAATGGTCGGCTTCAACCCATTTCTTTAATATTGTGCCGTATTTGAACCAGCCGTTCATGTCTTTTATGAACGACTGTGAACCTTAATTATCCCATTTTGCCTCTTATTGAGCTGGTCTTGATCTTTCATGTGTTTAATGGGTAACCCTTGGTTTGCGTTTACTATGGGATATGCATTGCCATTTACCAATTTTAAGGATGTTATTATGGTTTCAAGGCTCCTAAATATATTTCTATATTTTTTTCTTTATTTTGGGAAGTACAAGTGTCATGGGAAACAGTGTTTCTTTTTCTGCTTTTTTTCTATATTGTGTGTATCAAGGTAAAGTGAATTGGGCATTTTCGCTGAGTTTAGTCACATGCGGCTTTACCAGCTGTTTTTGGTTTATTGCCGTTAGTTTCAATGCCCTTTGAGTTCCACCGCATCCAAAGCAAGACCATGACTGGCTGGACGAGCAGTAATCGAGTTTTATGGTATACCCCATATTAGAACAGTTTCTTTGTTCCTTTGCCGTTCAGTAATTTATGTGACAAACCAGAGACCATATAATAGATATGGTCTCTGGACAAACGTACAGTCGCTGAAAATATTTCATCTGAATAAAAACAGATTTAAATTGAAAAGGAGCCCACGTGAGATGAGAAATTCCCGACCTTGATGGAGACTTTATTTATGGCGTTTGCATTACAACTAGTACTGAGCTGGAGGAAAATAATATGGTCCAGGGACTGAGACAGACAGTTTTGGAGCTGTCTCTGAATATATATATATATACTCATGCCAATAATGGTTGACGCCAAATTTTTTTAATTGGAGAGGGTGTGTAGGGTGGGGGTGTGAGGTGTGTGGGGTTGGGTTGGGGAGGGGGGTGACAACCATTATTGGCATGAGTATATATATAATATTGATAGTAACAAACAAACCCATATAAATTGAAAAGGAGCCCCAGGAAGACCAGCAATTCCTGAACCTGAGGAAATCTAGACTTGCTTCATTTAGGGCTTAAGCATTGCAGGGAGAGCTAGGCTGTAGGGGAAATAATGTGGTTGAGGGTCTGTGAGACTATTTTGGAGCCTGCTTGAGGGTGCGAATGGTTTGCGTTTTGACTCTCATTTCCCTGCTCGTAATTTGAATCAAAGCCATGGCTACGAACTTAGTAATATGAGCATTTTGTATAACATGAGCTGATGTTCTCGTTTGATTGTTACGCCTACAGATATTGGGTGTTTGAAACTGTACATGCAGTTTATACCTTTCAACAGAAAAACACCCATATCCGAGTTACAGACCTCGAATGGGGGGTAGGGTTCATCTTAAGATATTTTCACATGGGTGTTCCACAAACCCACGGTCAGTTATGCAGGACAAATTGTAGAATGCACACTGTGACTAACATTAGTGTAGAGCTCGTTAAACAAACACCCACCCTTTGTGGCTACACTTCCTATGGACATAGCTGAGGTGTCACGTCATCTCCCATCGCGATTCCAACTTACAATGAGAACGTCAAGCGGAACCCGATACGGGAGGAGGGGGAAGGGGGTTGCGGAGGGGGAATCGGGAGGCATAAAGCAGGTCAAGATACGAAAGGATGTGCTAGCTCGGCACCAGCAACGTGGCAGAGAAACCGTGGCACCGTAAGCAGACGAACGTGGAACTCTCTCAACTTGAACACTCACATCACCAACACTGACCATGGCTGCTGCAACTCTTGTCTCCGTGCTCTTGTCCGCCCTGGTGGCCTGCTGCTATGTAAGTAGTGTTTAACATTGTTTGATATGGGTGTAGCCTAAATGTAAGCGGTTCATCCACACTCCTCTTCGCTATGTCGGTATCCTGGTGTAGAAAGTCAGGACGCTCTCCTTTGTACAGATTGTTGCACCGTGTAAACTTCATGGCGACACCAGCTAAGATTGAATCATTCAGTTTGAATATGTGCACATACGTTTTTAAAAGTTATGAGCATTGTATAAACTTTCTGTTGAACCTTGGTTGATCATGTCATTTTAGTTTTAAGAGAGCATTAGTAAATTAAAATAATGTAAAGTGTTTGGCAATGTCTGCACTCTCAGGACCAACACGAATGTCCGTGGACTGTATTCGTGTAGTTTTAAACACGTGTGTTTCGAAGGCAGATATTTGATTGTTTTAGTGTAATAACGAGGGAATGTGTAACCCATTAACCCTTTGTGCGTGGCAGTTGGCGGCCATTTTGAAATTGGAACCAGAACAGGTTACAAGACGTGAATGGCATGATTCATAGACTAACAACTAGAAATGAATATATTTTACAGAAAAAAAGCTCATAATAAAAAAAATAAAATATAATATAATGAAAAGGAGCCCTGAGACTTTCTTCATTTTCAGAAGCTGTGGAAATCTAGACTTGCCATATTTTCTACTTGCGTGGGCTTTCTTGGATATATTTGCTTCAGGGTCTGTATGACAGACTAGCTTGATTCAGTACAGTTGTTCCACACATTACCGTATTGACCCTTGCAAATCGGTACTACTACCATGGGTAATCATCAAAACTGCTGTACAGTAACTATTGCTGTTACTGGGGTGATAGGGTAGTGTAGTGGATAAAGTGTCCGCTCGTCTCACCTGAGTACAATATGTTATTGCTGGAATATTCCTAAAACCATAACTCACTCACTCACTCACTCACTCTTGCTGTTGCTGACAGGGTCATGGTTGATAGGTTGACCCTCAAATATGTACCCAGCTTACAATATGATGTATCGGGAAAATAGTAATCCCAGTCAGTATTATATTAGTATATAAAACACAGTTTTGTATCGGTGTTCTGGTAAGTCCGTTGAAACATTTAACATCAATGTCCTTCGGTATGCCACAAAACAACGAAAGTCTGAAAAAAAATATAGGACCCAATGGAGAGTGAGTTAAGTTTTACGCGGCTTTCAGCAGTATTCCAGTAAGACCGGGTTCGATTCTCCACATGGGTACAATGTGTGAAGCCCATTTCTGGTGTTCCCCACCATGATTACTGGAGTAATGATAAAAGCGGCGTAAAACTAAACTCACTCGCTCATCTATCATTAACGCAACAGACAAGACGTGTAAACATTGCAAGGCGGGAATTAGACTGACTCCCAGAAGTTATTGAAAAATATGTCTCCGAAATGGAAAAAAGATCAAAGTGGATTAGCATAATTCTTCAATCTTGACTTGCCAAATCATTCAAGACTTGTTATGGACTTCTTTTTTATTTAATTTCTAGAGTCTGGTAGACGGACTGGGCAGGAAATCCCGTCCATGCCGGTATATATGTAGGTGTAGTCTGTCTCACAATCTCTGAACCACATTAATTTCCCTACTGCCAAGCCCTCTTTGCAGTGCTAAAGCCCTAAATAAAGCAAGTCTAGATTTCCTCAGGTTCAGGTTCTGAATCTCTGGTCTCCCTAGGGCTCCTTTTCAATATAAATGGGCTTGTTTGTTCCTATCAAAATTATATATATTCAGAGACTAAGCCTTAGTCTAATGTAGGTAATGTATGTAGGCAAAGTAACACATGGCCACCAGATGGTACACACGTCAACAGGTGGTTACTCTCACTCCAGCTGTTCCGAGTTTACTAGTGACTCAATGGTTACGTCAGGGTGACCGATCCACCAGCTTGGTCGTCGGGCCTGTGGCGTGGGGGTACCGGGTACTTGTAATTCATGGAGGTCTCCACGGGGGATTTTGTGTCACACCACACTTTTCATCTGTTTATCATAGGAAGGCGTATTCATTTTTTGTTAATTGAACTGAATCGTGATGTACGTTTTTGAACAAATATTCATGTGAAATGAATTGTTATAAGGTTTTCGAAGATGGACTTTGGGTGCTGATGGTTGAATATAATATGTGCAAAGTTGCGCTGCGTTCCTTGTTTTGCCAGACCTTACGTGGGTTTTGTAGTGGAATAGAAATCTATACTGGGTCTTTATTGTCAGTATATGTTACAATGTTACCCACGTTTGCTGGTTTCAGGACAAGTAAAAAGGTGCCAAGATGGTTGAATATAAAAGTTGCGCCCTTGTTTTGCCCTGGTATGACGCACTTGTCGACCGTGAGTGAGTATGGTTTTACGCCGCTTTTAGCACTATTCCAGCGATATCACGGCGGTGGACACCAGAAATGAGCTTCACTCACTGCACCCATGTGTGGAATCGAACGCTTTAAGCACTAGGCTAACCCACCGCCCCATCTGAAATGTAGTTAAATCATGGGGTGACCGCTTTAGTTAAGTCAGTATGGTAAGGTGCTGAAAGACCAAAAACGATCATGGAGCCGAAACTGGAAATAGAACTGATGGCCAGATCCTGGCAATTCCTAAATAATAATATTTGTAGGTTTAATTCGTTAAATTATCTTTAACGCATATCTAAAGAAGCCCATAGAATATGTTCATTTTCAGAGACCATGTAATTGAAGAAACCTAACCTGCCCGTTAATTGCAGACTTGCTTGGTATTTTGTATTAGGGTATGTATAAGAGACTATTCCGAGGCTAAACTTCCTTTTTTGCTTCAGAGGAAAAAAAACGGCTTGGAAGGTGTTTTGTAATTTCTTAAACCACTTTTAAAAAAGCGAACAAATTTAATTGTGTCACGGAACGTGGTTCTTCGTCATCATCACAGTCGTTTTAATGTGTATCTACAGGCAGGGGAGACAACCGTGACTCACAAGGTGTACTTTGACATCGCTATTGGGGGCAGTCTGCTGGACGGATTGTGTTCGGTCTGTTTGGAGAGACTGCTCCTAAGACGGTGGACAACTTCTTCACCCTATCCACTGGCAGTCTCGGGTTTGGTTACCAAGGCAGCAGCTTCCATAGGGTCATCAAGGACTTCATGATTCAAGGTCAGTTGCAATGCTCGAATCTTTTGTTGGTCTGTATGTACGTATACAGGTGATTCTGTAGCATTTGATTGGCTGAACGAAAAGTAGGCTACACTAGTGCCGCCCTCTTGCGGTCTACTGTTGATGATAGCTCATAGGTTGTGCGAAATAAGCATATCTGAAAGCGCATGTAAAATCACAAATTAGGTTTAATATAGAACAAACTTTATGGAAACAACTTCTTTTTATTCGTGAGTGCGACGTTTCGATACAGATTCTTGTACCGTTGTCAAGCATAATGGAACATGAAGAAGGGGGAAGTATATATATACTGGATGTAACAATGTAACAAAGAAAACAACATAATTAACATAATTGGCTAGGCAGAAAGCTGATGAAGCCAGAGAGTAGACAAAGAACAGGCGTGGAAGCCAATGATGTACAAATAATAATGAGATGTTTATACAGCAGAGTTTATACAGTAGATTGGGCTTGGTGGATGAGTGCATCATAAGCTGATGGAATGAAGTATCCTTGGTCTCGGTTGATGGTTGTGTGGAATTTTGGTTGCATCATTTGAAGCTGTTAACAGTAGTTTCTTAAGCTGTTATCAAGCTCGAATGAGCATGACGTAAGAATCTACATGGAAACGTCCCTGAATGCAATAAACCAGCATTTGCTCTCCATGAATTTGAACGTTTTCTCATTTAAAGAGTAACTTGTAGTATACCAATCAAACTGTCACAGTCACTAATTCTGTCATTGATTTCGAATTGTGTATATTTTTTGTGCTTGGAAAATACATGGGATTTTGCCTTCGAATTGGGCCAAACATTGCGTACTCCGATGTTTACAATAAAGGGTATATGGGCATCACTCCAATATTGATCAATTTTGTACACGTCTTCACGTTACAGGAGGCGACTACGACAAGAAAGACGGCTCCGGCATCAAGAGCATCTTCGGGGGCTACTTCGACGACGAGAGATTCACCCTGAAGCACTATGGCCCAGGCTGGCTCAGCATGGCTAATGCCGGTAAGCATGGGGAGATAACTCCAGCCAGGACACAAGAACTGGTAGAAACATGAAGATTATCTAAACTTATCGTCCAGCCCAATTTGGTTTTTAAGACTGATTTGTTAGTAACTGAAATAATCTTTTTCAAGATTCGTTCAAGTTTTATATGGGCTTCATTTTCTTTGTTTTTTTACTATAGTAGAAGGGCACAGTAATGTCATCTACTTTTGTTTTATTATAAATAAATATGTGTACTTCGAAACTATAACACCATATACATTGTACTGACCAATGCTTCTCTTGCGAAATGAAAGATGTAATGATGAAGTGAGAATAGTTTTACGACGCTTTTAGAAATATTCGCAATATCACGGCGGGGAACACCAGAAATGGGCTTCGCACATTGTGGGGAATAGAACCCGAGTATTCGGCGTGACGATCGAACGCTTTAACCACTAGGCTACCCTACCGCCCCAAAGATGTAATGCACCCCCAGTTTGATCTGTCATGTGTGCAGCGGTTACGCCGGTAGCGAGCACTAAAGTTCGATATTAATTTAATTAGAGATTTGATTCCCCTCTGATTAATTTGTATGATCAACGTTAAGTCTGAACGTCATGACAATCACAACTCTTATTTCACAGGTCGCAACACAAATGGCTGCCAGTTCTTCGTCACCTGCAAGGCTACCCCCTGGCTGGATGGTAAACACGTAGTCTTCGGGAAGGTTCTGGACGGTATGGACGTTGTGGAGGAGGTCTCCAGCGTGGAAACCGACGACAACGACCACCCGTTGAAATCCATCATAATAACAGAGTCCGGAGAGATCGCACTTGGTGAACGATTTGATGTATCTACCACGTACCATGCTGCTTAGGATGTCGATGGGGTTGAAATCTTCCACTATTGGAATTTGTGTTCATGTAAACGCTTAAAGATGTAAAGATTGTGGTTGGAAAATAATATGGCAAGTTTCGAACTGTTTATGGCGATGTTTAAAAGTCCGGCCAATAATTTAGACTAAGGTGAAGGTCACAGAGGCCGCCATTACAAAACTATAAGCTCTCATCATCACGCATTCAATTGAATATGCTTTATTATTAGATTAGCCAAATTTATGACGAAATCAAAACATAGGTAAACTTTATAATAGTGTTTGTTAAAATAATCTGAATTTGTTGCGAAAATATTTGGTGCTATTTACGTCATCGGTGACACCGGAGAGTATCTATTTTACCAGCCTCGATTATCCAGCGACAGGAAGTAATGCCATACTGGATAGTCGAAGATACTTTTTGACAGGAAATGATCATGTTTGGAATTGTCTGGAGTTAATATGTGTGTGTGTGTCTTGTGAGAGAGAGAGAGAGAGGCGATGTATTTGAAGGCTGTGTATCTACATTTATTCATCATTAAGATGTATGATCTGTGTCTGGGAGCATGTGTACCATTGTTGTTGAGATATATGGGGGATCAAAGGGATAACGCGTTTGGAATTGAAACATTCCCATTTTAGTCACCCAAATCTTCGTATGTTCGATTGTTTCATAACTCCAGGCACTAGGAGAAGGTCCTGTAAAATAACAACGCAGGGCCTAGATTTTCGAAGCTCTCTTAGCGCTAAGATAGCCGTATGTGCCATACATTAACTTACGTTTATCTTAGCGCTACGAGAGCTCCGAAAATCTAGGCCCTGGAAGGTAACTTATGGTTTTAATGATAATAACGGCAAGATGTTTTATTGATGATAACGCTTTCATCACATTTGATGGCCGTTTCTGTGTCGTTTCAAAACCGTCTCACGCAACGGTAAGAATCTATTCGGAAACGTCGTATCACGCGATAAAGAGGTTGATGAAAAGGAATGGTTTACATAAAGGGGTCGAAATATGGCCGATGCCGTTCACTGCAGCCACAGTGCCCTTCGTCACCACACGTCTCTATTCGGAGAGTACTCGGCAAAGCCCGGAATGGTACGAAGTATAACTGCGAAAAGAGCCGTAGTGAAGAATGTTTACACAAATCAAATCCGTCCTATAAAGTTCTTTATTGATTTGTTAGGATTTCAAATATTTTATAAATGACCAGTAATCTAATAACGATAATAAATGCTATTCACAATGTATACTACTCAAACTTTGCTAAGGATCACAAACATTCGCAACTTTACTTAAAAGTAGATTTATAATTTGAACTTATATCCATTTAAAACTGGATAAATAACGATATGGTAACACATCTTAGGAAAACATCCACTTTAAGCTAACCGTATGCTCTTGATACATGAGTAACCATAAAAATGGTTTTCATGGCACCAATCAACCATTTTGCAAATCATGGCACGGGTCATTGACAAGTACACAACACCTGTCAATAGTAGGTATGGGATCCACTAGATTAAATGACAAACTGAAAACTAGGATCCATGCTTTCAATAGGCTTAGATATTTAAAACCAAATTTGCCCCACATCATAGTTTTCTGTTGCATCAATGATTTGATCCTTAGCAAAGTGTGAATAGTATATGAAAGAAGTGGATGCACGTATCCTATATATGTGTGTGTGTGAAAATACATACATGTTATCAGATCGTATCTATGGTTTTGTATGACGATAAGCAGAGGCAAAAGAAAAGGGCAATGAAAAAAAGGACCTTTCTTAAGTTCCCAATGGCAGAGAGCCAAACAAATACATGTACATTCTTTTTGGAAAATAATGATGCTGTTTGAAATCCCATGTTATTATAGATATCTTGTGAATTTACTGAAAAGCCCTGAAGTCGAAGTATGAATGGATGTCGTTCACAAACATGAACTCGATAATACAATTCTTCTAAAAGTGCCAAAATATGAGATAATTTTAATGCAAATATTGCCATTCATATTTGAAAGCTATTTGCAATTTGATTTTTTTTTAAATATTTGAATTTTTTTATTTTGCAATTTTTTCAACATTTTTAAAAGTATTTTTTTATTGTTGTTCTTTATGTGATATGTATTGATATTGTGCAATTTAACATTACCTTTCTTGTGGTATTACAGTGGGTGATATTACCTGTTCGATAATGTTGTTTTGTATATGTTTTACATTTCATTTTACAATAAATGATTCAACTGCCAATGTTTTTCATGTTTCCTTCTGTTAATGTACATATTTGGGGCGATTGGGTTGGCTAATGGTTAAAGTGTCCGCTCATCACGGGTTCGATTCCCCACATGTTTACAATGTGTGAATCCCCTTTCTGATGTCCCCCGTCGTGATATTGCTGGAATATTGCTGAATGCGGCATGAATCCATACTCACTCACTCACTTTGTAAATTGGGTAACCTGGTGGTTAAAGCGTTCGCTTGTCACACCGAAGACCGGGTTCGATTCCCAACAGGGGTACAATGTGTGAAGTTCATTTCTGGTGTAGAACAAAAGTAACCATAAGTAATTACTGGATGTTAACATTACGAGATGGGACTCGTGCGATCGCTCGTTTACTGTTAATTGAAGTACTCGCATGGATATCGCTGACTGTTGCACACAGCAACACCACCCACTCGCTTTTTGCGACAAGCGTGAATTCAGTTCTGACCCAGATCTTCACCGGTGGTGGTAAAAGCAGAGCAGTACTTGCAGCTATAACGCTGAGACGGTCGTGTATGAAAGGGGGCGGTGGGGTAGCCTAGTGGTTAAAGCGTTCGCTCGTCACGCCGAAGACCCGGTTCGATCCCAACATGGGTACAATGTGTGAAGCCCATTTTTGGTGTCCCCCGCAGTGATAATGCTAGAATATTGCTAAAACCGGCGTAAACCGAAACTCACTCACTCGTGTATGTAAGGGCGTTAGTATCAATTTGTGCAGGTGGGCCCAGATTACACGTAGCAAAATGAGTGATTGAGTGAGTATGGTTTTACGCCGCTTTTAGCAATATTCCAGCATTATCACGGCTCAGGACACCAGAAATGGGCTTCACACATTGTGCCCATGTTGGGAATCGAACCGGGTCTTCGGCGTGACGAGCGAACGCTTTAACCACTAGGCTACCCCACCGCCCTCGTAGCAAAATGAGTATTTGACCATAACTAAAACGACAAAACACTGCCCAAACAAAAAAGTATGTCCCCTAAAATAATGATAACGAAACAAATAACCCTTGCATGATGCAGTTGTGAGTTATGGTCCTTGAGGTTTCAGACAGGGGTCAGACACATGGGGTGTCGTCGTAAATATGAGTGAGAATTGCTTTACGTCGCTTCTAGCAATATTCCAGCAATATCACGGAGGGGGACACCTGAAAATTGCTTTACGTCGCTTCTAGCAATATTCCAGCAATATCACGGAGGGGGACACCTGAAATGGGCTTCACACACTGTGCCCATGTCGGGAATCGGACCCGGGTCTTCGGCGGGACGAGCGAACTCATTAAGCGCTAGGCTACCCCACCGCTCCACATCGACGTGAAGCTGCTTCCCTTGTAGAGACCGATTTACGACAGGTTTTCACGCTCCAGGGTCTAGATTTTTCGAAGCTCTCTTAGAGATAAGATAGTCGTAAGTTAATGATAATGTATGGTACTTACGACTATCTTGGCGCTAAGAGAGCTTCGAAAATCTAGGCCCAGGGAATTATTCTCGAAACGTTCGTAGCCCTAAGAATTCTTAACTTTGATCGTAGCCAATGTGTTAAGAATGGGCTTAAGAAGTTCGTAGGGCTACGAACGTTTCGAGAATAGCTAGCCAGGTACTTCTCATCTTTCGTACATCCGCTTTCACGTCCTGTGCGATATGTCGTCACGTTTTCCCACCCGAAGGCAAGTCCCGGCGTGGCGGGCGCCAGAACAGATCAGATTTGATCAAACGGGTTTGATCAGTGCATAATGTATGAAAATGTTGCTATGTGTATGAACTACCTGAGATTGTGACGGGGTCGACGTGGGGCACATGGTTGAACGTCCACGGCCATAATGCCATCTGTTATAGACGGGTCTCTAACACCGGAAATTGGCACATTGTACCCATTTGGGGAATCGAACCCGGGCGTGACGAGCGAACGCTTTAACCACTAGGCTACCCCATATGGTTGTAGAACGGGAGTGAGTGAGTGAGTGCAACATGACGCTAGATTAGGTAGGAGTACTGACTGACTGACTGAGTTTGGTTTTACGCCGCTTTTAGCAATATTCCAGCAATATCACGGCGGGGGACACCAGATATGGGCTTCACTCATTGTACCCATGTGGGGATTCGAACCCGGGTCTTCGGCGTGATAGGGAGGAGTAAAGCCATGTAAAAGGCTGTAAAACAGGAGTGAGTGCCATACAGACAGAGACAGAAATTATGCGGCGGTAAGTCTGGGCTAGTACAGCAGGGGTAGCCTAGTGGTTAAAGCGTTGGCTCGTCACGCCGAAGACCCTAGTATAAACAACCTCGGTTCGATCAAGAGAGACAACTCTGTTAATCCCACATGGGCAGTATGAATGTGTTAAGCAGGACATTTCTGGTGTCCCCGCCGTTTTGATATTGCTGTATTCTTGTTTCTAAAACAAAACGAAGGAGCTTAGAAAAGTTAATATTGCGAAGGGTTGAACTGAGTGCATGCACAGCAGATAAAGAAATTTTACTGGGACAATGTTGAATTTTCAGCAGAAATTTTAATGACAAGTTCTGTGTGGCTGTTTCCTAATACACTGAAATTCTGGACCAAACAAACTGAAAAACCTTTGTATCAGCGCCCAAAGTACAGTCCGAAATTTAATTTGTGGGGTGGCATATCTGTGTTAGGGGCAACGCCCCTCTGTGTATTTGAAGGGAATATGAACAGTGAGCGGTACACAGATATTCTCGAGGGACATTTACTTCCATCTGCTCACGTGTTCTTTGGACATTTTTGGATTTTCCAGCAGGACAACGACCCAAAACATCGTTCAAAGCATTCACAGGCCTGGTTCGGACCCAAAATATGATATTATTAGATTGGCCAAGCTATATCCCCGACCTTAATCCAATAGAAAATGTTTGGGGACTTATGAAGGAAAGTGTCAATAAGAAAAATCTTACAAATATTGCTGAAATGAAAGAAGAGGTGGTCCGATATTAGGACAGCATGGAACACGACTTTCTAACTTATTTGATCAGTAGTATGCCCCGCCGCACTGAAGCCTGCATTGCTGCCCATGGTGACTTGACAAAATACTAACTGTTCACCTGTCTTTGAATCTGGAGTTATCTTCTGCTAATATTCACATTTAATACGCGAATAATGAGTGGAAAAAAATAAAATTACAATCTTTAAATTCTCAATAATTTCTGGTTGTACAATATTATTATATTAAAGTGCATCTGATGTTCACTTGAAATTCAAGCATAAATGGGAAGAGTACGTGCTTTCTGAACCAGAATGGGAAAACTATTTGTAAAACCTTTGAAGATCACAGTGGATACACAATTGAGATGGTTTCAGTTCAGCATTTTACACGGTATTCTATCAACTAATTCCCTATTCAAGATCAAATTAGCTGAAAACAACTTGTCAATGTGAAGTGAGACAATTGCACACCTTGTTTGGGATTGTAATCATGTACAAACCTTTTGGCAGGATTTTCTTTAAAAAAAAATGTTTACGCGTTCACAACATGAATTTTGATCAATACAGCTTATAATGTTTGGATTGAGAAAAAAATACATAGGCGTATACATGTACTGATGAGGTTTCTAACGTGATGCTGTTGTTAGGTAAGTTTTTAAAATATGGCCTAGTGGTTGAGGCTTTGGCTCGTCACGTCGGAGACCCAGGTTCTATTCCTCACATGGGTACAATGTGTGAAGCCCATTTCTGGTGTTCCCCGCCGTGATATTGCTGGAATATTGCTAAAAGCGGCGTAAAACCATACTCACTCACTTCTGTTACTATAATATGTTTGTATCTATGTAACTATGGGAATGAATTTTCAAAAAAAGAAAAAAAATGTTTTTAAAATATAGATATAAAGTATTAAAATCAACTCAAAGTTTTAAAGCTTTCAGACAGTATATACATGACAGTATATGTCATTGAAAATGATACTGAAAATATAAATTAGCTTTAAGTAAAAGCCAAGAATATAAGTTTTATGCATGCTATATCATGATATTGCAAATTTTAAGTAATCTTCACGGAATTGTTTCTTCTTGCCTCTTCATGATGATGTTAAACACCAAACAATTTATTGTAATATTATGAAAAGTTCTTTGAGCGTGCGGTGAGCGAAAGTACTGTGATGTTTTGTCATGTCGGTTGGAAAATAAAATCCTCTATATTCCATTACTTTATACACATCTAACAGCGTGTACCAGACTTTGCTGTCCCCGGGCTGTACTGTCGAGGGGGGCGGTGGGGTAGCCTAGTGGTTAAAGCGTTGGCTCGTCACGTCGAAGACCCGGGTTCGAATCCCCACATGGGCACATTGTGTGAAGCCCATTTCTGGTGTCCCCTGCCGTGATATTGCTGGAATATTGCTAAAAGCGGCGTAAAACCATACTCACTCACTCACTGTAATGTCGAGACTGCACTGTAACAGTGAGTCAGGAAATCAATAAATAAATAAAAAAAATTAAAAGTCCGTTCAGATTCACTAGCACTGTCGCACGTCTGTGTGTGACCTACGCACCCGTGAAAATCCGGGTTAGAATTGATCTTCAGTAACCCATGCTTGTCGTATGAGGCGACTAACGGGATCGGGTGGTCAGGCTCGCTGACTGGGTTGACAAATGTCATCGTATCCTAACTGCGTGGTTCGATGCTCATGCTGTTGATCCTTGGATTGTCTGGTCCAGACTCGATTATTTACAGACCGCCGCCATATAGCTGTAATATTGCTGAGTGCGGCGTAAAACTAAACTCACTCACTCGTGATCTACGCATATCATCCTGGGCCTGCCCTCAGTGAATGGTGGCCAGTCTCACGGAGACGAATACACACTGTCCGAGAAGAAACATTCACGCCACTGGCGTTCCGCAGGTCATTTCTGAGTGTGGTGGCAGTCATGACAAAAATTCGTCTTACTGCAATCAGAAGCAACCAGCATTGCCGCAGTGTGGTGGAACATAACCTGCATATTCTTCAGCAAGCCATGTTTGTCCTTGGATGCAGGAATTGATCGTTTACTAGTTTATTTCCTTTAACCTTAAACTAGTTAAAACACTTTGTGTAATCTAGTTATTATACTGCCCTCTGTCGACAGAACTGTATATTGTTGATATATAATTGTCATTGATGTATGGCTTCTCTCGTCAGATATGGGGGCGGTGGGTAGCCTAGTGGTTAAAGCGTCCACTACGTCACGCCGAAGACCCGGGTTAGATTCCCCATGTGTGAAGCCCATTTGTGGTGTTCCCCGCCGTGATATTGCTGGAATATTGCAAAAAGCGGCGTAAAACCAAACTCACTCACTCACTGGAGGCAGCTAAGAGGATCAGGTGGTCAGGCACACCGACTTGGATGATGCGTTCCTTTGTATCCCAGCTATATAATTATCAATGAGCTTGTGGGTGAAATGAATAATTGTGGATTAAGAGGAATATTTGTCAAAGATGGTTTAAATGATATTCTATTACTGCTTTTTGCAGATGACGTTATCTTACTTGATGACACTGTTATTGGTTTACAAAGAAAACTTTATACATTGTATCGTTTTTGCTTAAAAGTGAAACATTTTAAATATAGGGGAACGACGCTTGATATTCATGTGATACAACATTGTTTGGTTTCCATTATAGAGCCATTTTTCTGATTTCTTGAGATAGCCATCATTTCTAAATACTGCTATGCAAGATTTGTCAAGATTGACTTCTAAATCCCAGATTTTCCAAATGTATCTTTAAAAGTTGCTTCAGCAATATTTAATAATAAAATATCCCCAATATTATTGTACGGTAGTGAAATCTGGGGGCATTCATATCGTCCTCACATTGAGAAAATCCAATGTTTCTTTTTCAAACGTTTTTTGTGTGTTAATAGAAATGTTTCTTCCAATGCTAATATTACATATGGACGATAATCTACATCCCAAATCATGTTATGAAATGTTAAAGCTGCAACACGATAGTGGCACCTGCAGCTGGGTTACTTGTACTTTTATTCCGAACTGGATTTACTTATGTTTGGATTACACAGGAATGTGGGAATATTGAAATGTTTATAAGTGAATTTAGAGTGATTTAAGATTGAAATTGAAAAATTGAAATTCAAAATTGGCATTCTAGGATAACATCATCATCTTTTCTAAAAGACCATGGAGCAATCAAGTCCGCCCTGGAATCCGAAAAATACATATTGGAACTGTCATAACAAGGACCTTATAGCAGTTTATGCAAATTCCGCTGTTTAAGCCATAAGTTGTTGTTCAACAACAACGTTATAATAATGATATAAATAAAATACTGATATGTGACAAATGTGATTTTAATGTTACACAAGATGAATTTCATTTTTTACTTGTGTGTCCATTCTATTCTGTACGCAGAAAACTGCATTTACCTAGTTATTACCATACGTTTCCATCAAGATTAAAATATAAATAACTTTTAACAACAAATGCACATCTATTGAAGTCTATTGCAATATGTCTAAAGCGTAACTTGCCTGTATGAAAATGAACTAAATACACTGTTTTATCTGTCCATCCGCACAACATTGTGTTGAATGTTTGTACTCTTGGCCATGTGGCCTCAAATACTGAACCGGAGAGCGGAAGGTCGCGGGTTCGATCCCCGACCGCTTCATACCAAAAGACGTTAAAATATGGTACTTGTTGGTCCCTGCCTGGCGCTCGGCATTAATGGGTACAACAAGGACTGGTCGGCTCGGAGTCAGTATAATGTGTCTGAGTGGGGTATTCATGCTTCACTGCGGCATGGTATCTCAGTGGGCTAGCACTATAAAACCAGCTTAAGTCTGGGCTAGTACAAGCAGCCGCACATACACATACACACGCATGCACCTCGTCATATGAGCGAAATATTCTCAAGCACGACGATAAACCCAATTTCACCTCACCTCAAATACTGAAATATACTTCTTCTGAATAAGAAGATGTTCATGATGTCAGCTGGATTGCCTGGCCATGGCTCACTGTCCAATGGGGGCCTGGGCTCACTTCCACAAAGCTATCTTACCACTGTGACGATCTCATACTCTAACATGGCATCGACTCCCAACTGAGCAGATCGATGCTCATGCTGTTGATCACTGGATTGTCTGGTCCAGACCCGATTATTTACAGACCACCGCCATATAGCTGTAATATTGCTGAGTGCTGCGTAAAACTCAACTCACTCACTCACTCTAACATGGACTAAAGATAGCCATAGTGCTAAGATTGTTTGTGCGGGTGGGCCCTGTGTGGTGTGCTCTTCTTGTGTACCTAGCTAGAATAAGACAACACAGTAGAACATGGTTTTGAACCAGCAAGATCATCAGACAACACTCAGGTTTAACTCAGGGTATTAAGAATTTTGTCAGAAATTTACAGCAAATGAAATCAGAAACAGAACAAAGAATATCAACTGAAAGTTTTTTATTGTTCCTACAGGTTTTTGAGTATTTGACAATAATGTAAATAAACAAAAAATTTATACAACTGAATATTGTAAAAAAACAGACTTTAATGTAATGAATAGAGATTCTTGAAAAATATTCATAAAGTCAGCATTATTTAAGGATGTGCTTTATTACATGAACAAATACATGAACACATTTGAGACATTGCATTATATTTCACACGTTCACACCATGTAAAGTAATACTAATTTAAGAAACACCAACAAGAAGCCATACATTCAAATTCAGCAAACTTAAATATACCAGTATTGGCTGATATGTATGTGTGATATAACAGTCTTAATATAATTGTTGAGTATATGGGTGATAACAGTCATAACATCATTGTTCAGCATAACTTGTGAGACAATGTTTGGCACAGTTATTTGGCACTTTACACTTGTTCGCATAGTGTTTGTCATAGGAAGCCTTTGCTCAATCTCTGCACAACAGAAACATAATACTCAGAATAAATAAATTCTTATTAACCTACATCAATTTGATTGGCTGAGAACAGTTCATGGCCTACATAACATGAAAATATAAAACATTATTGCCAAGACCACTTGACTACTTATGTTATGCCTCTTAGTTCCATAAACAATGGTAATTTGGTTCCTGTTGATTCACAGTTTTCATGTTTGTTTTCAATTCATTTGAAAATAATGTCAATCCTTAAAAAAGTTCTGTAACTGACACTTAAACAGTAAGTTAGTTCATAAATAGAAAATAAAACATTCCAGCTGAAATCATGTATATGTCATTTATATCTTGCGATAAAAAAAGAATAAAGGGGCAAAATATAGGGGAGACAACTCTTGAAAGCATAGCAGCCCTTAACCACAGCACATACACAGACACACGCTTATATATCATTCACACGTATGACAATGATCAAACATTATCTTGCATAGGTAAAGATGGAGGGATTTCATGGCTTAACCAGTCTATACTTTCTCTTCATCAAATGGTCCATCGGTCAGAGGTAGTTCTCCACTTCCAGTAATTGTGACATCTTCTGTGGGCTTGTCATAGGCATCAGTTGCTGTGTTTTCAATGGCCCTCACAACATTCATGCCTTCGATGACCTTGCCAAACACAACATGGTGGCCATCCAGCCAGGGGGTCGTCACGGTGGAGATGAAAAACTGGCAGCCATTAGTGTTAGGGCCTGAAAGGGTAACACAAAAACGTAAGAGTGAGTGAAGGAAGGAGGGAGCAAGGAGCAAGAGATTTACCCACTGCCCCTCAAGTGAAAGCAATTCTTAACAAATCATAATGATCCCACCACTCAAATAATAATGATCTAAATAACTCAAAATGATCTGCCGAACTCGTAATGACTCACCAAAATCGTAATAACCCACCAAAATTGTAATGATCCACCCAAATCTCAATTTGCCAACAGAAACATAAGAATCCATCATTGTGATCATCATGATCCAATAGAATAAAAATGATCCACAAAAATCATCATGCTCTAACAGAATCATAATGATCCACCCCAAATCATCATCTCTGCATGACACCCATACAATCTGACACTAATCTGCTCATCACAGACAGACCTGCTGCTCGAGTATTCTCCATACAACTACTTATAACTCTTACACAGACCTGTTGATGACATATTCTCCATACAAGTTACAACTACTCTTTATAACTCTTTATGTATATACATACCTGAGTTAGCCATGCTGACCCAACCTGGACCGTAGTGACGTAATGTGAAGTTTTCATCCTCAAAATTATCTCCATAAATACTTTTGCTTCCAGATCCATCTCCATTCACAAAGTCTCCACCTGCAACACACAATGTGACATGTCAACCTACGTAAAGGGAAAAATCACTCTTATCTGTCAATTCCAGGAGCTTATTGTTTGTACTGCAGGATTCAACAGATTTAAAGTTTCTTCTTTCTTTCGAAATTCAGACTTCTCTCATTTCAACCATGGTACAGTACTGTATAATTTTTCTATAATTTGGCATAATGATAAATTATTAAAAATTTTGTTCTAAATTGTAAATCAATTTCTGGTTCATAATCAACCACATCAACATCATATGATCAGACAATCCCATGTTACTATAAATAGTTCAATAACTTTCATATCTAAAAACCTCCCCACAAATATTAAAAATTAAAAAACTGATTAAAAAATCTTTGAAATAATGCAATTATGTGTGTGTTTTCATTTAAAAACACATCATGGTAATATACTTTTCATGTTCTCCTTGCTAAATCCCTGGCAATTATTTTTATCTTGAAACGGAAACTTGACTAATATCTGTATATTGAACATACATACAAATGGGACCGGTTTACTCCCATAAGCACTACATCCCATTTGAACTACATCCCCAATTAACCACAGGGATTAATTAGGGATTAATTATCTGAGTAGAGGCACCCCCATGGCATGTAATGAGCACAGCCCATCAGCTCTCCCAGAAGAACTACATGCTTAAAATCATATTGACCAGTAATTATGTTGTTGTAAAGGTAATAACCAGAAAGTAAAGGACAAAAGAGAAAGGTTTGTAGTTAGTGAATGTTCTTGTATTCATATGATAGAAGAAAACAAGCAAAGCTTAGTATATTGGAGTAAAGGTATATTGGAGTAAAGGTGAAATATAAACGAATGAGTTTTTAAGTTAAAATAGTATTGTTTATAGATTGCACTCCAGTACCACGATGCAGTTGGCTACTTATTGAAGCTGGGCTAAACTAGTTCTACATGGATCAGATTGAACACTGAGGATGAAAGTGACACTAAATTATCACAGCATAGGTAGCCTTGCTGTGGCTCTACAGAGTTTATTACAATTGAGTAAACCTTAATATACTGAATATCATTGAAAACGCACCAGTCTAAAATTGTCCATATTTCATCAAGATAGATTTCAGCATGACAATGATCAATGAATATAACTAACATGAAGTCGAAGGGCATGTCCAGTTGAAAAAATGCTTTAGAAACGAATTCCTGTCCACAGTATGACTCTTAATTCCAAAATGCATCAACATGCTGCCACGCCATGAAAAAAGTGCAAATTTCATTCTGAAATCATACTGACTGTGACATTAAAAGCAGGTGTATGAGAACCGATTCTCATTGCTTCACTAACGATTGTGAAAGGAGGACAGAGATGCCGAGGTTAACACCTCACGAAGAGAACTTGCGCTATAGTTTGGCATGAAATGCATGTGGACCCGTTTTTTTGTAAATATCTCTTCATCCAATGACCGCTGTTACAGGTCAATGGCTCCCTCCCTCTGCAAGCCGTCTGCGTTCTGCTGTTTATTTTGTTGACAGTGACATAGACAGATTCTTTAATACAAATGCATAAAATCGGTGATTTACAATGTGATTAGGTTGTCTGACAAAACATCCACTTGCACAGTTTGAGACCGATTGGGTCATTGGATGAAGAGATATTTACAAAAAAACGGGTCCACATGCATTTCATGCCAAACTGTAGGCATGATTCAGGTTGGCACCAGCAGCAGGGATATTGCTCAACAAATTGGAATTGGCCACTACACCATCATTACGCTTCATAGACGACATCAGTAGACAGGCAGCAACCGTGACCTTCAATGACCTTGGCAACAACATGTTACGACGCTCCATCAGGATCGCCATATTGACCTTGTCCATATCAGTGATTGAACACTGCCGACTGCCAGGACTGCTGCACTAGTTCAAGGTTGACTTGGGGTCATCAGCGCTGACCCCATGCAACGCCGTCTACACGCTACAGGGCTCCATGCTCGACATCCTTATGTTGGACCAATTCTGACTGACAGACACCGTAATGAGCGTATACAATGGGCTAGCAGGCATTTTCAGTAAAGGTTACAACAATGGCATGGTGTGGTAGTCACTGGCGAAGTCACGTCTTCATCTCACGTAACGCTGGACGGCCGATTACGTGTTTGGCGTAGGCGTGGTGAGCGTTATGCTGATGAGTGTGTGGTTCAGACAGACCTTTGGGTGGTGGGAGTGTCATGGTCTGGGGTGGAATAAATTACAATCACAGGACTGCCTTCATGTCTGTTAAGGGAGAGTTAATGCCCTTTATTACCATGAGCAGATTCTTCAGAATCACATCGTATCTGTCTTCAATCACCACCAAGATGTCCATACTTTTCAACAGGACAACACACGGGCAACAAGACTTTCCATGCAGTATCTGGCCCAGCAACACATCCAGGTTATTCATTGGCCATCACAGTCGCCAGATGTATCCCCCATGGAGCGCTTGTGGGATGAAATTGGTCAAAGTCTTTCGCGGCAACAACAGATGCAAAACATCTGGGAACTTGAGGCTGCACTACTGCAGAAGTGGAATGCCATCTTCAAGAACTGTTTTTCGGACGCTTATTGACTCAATGAGGAGACGTTGAGCTGCATGTGTCAATGCAAATGGCGGTCACACGCGATACTGACTTTTCAATTTGACCCCATGTGTGTTTGATCCTTTCTGACTGTGGAACATTTCAATGAATGAGCGTCTTTTCTGCGTTGTTGTTTTTGTCAGTCGTCCATCTGTTATTATCCACTCAAAAAATATCAATTCCTTACACATGCTTTTAATAATCTGAACTTTTATAAGTGGTGCGTTTTCAATGATGTTCAGTATATAAGCCTATCTGTAGATGAACTATCTATACATCTATATATAAACTCCAGACTTTATCTCTGCACAAGATCTTTCGCCGTTCAACGGCTCTTCATGTGTACAATGAAAACTAAGTGTCATCCTAGGCGACGCATAACGGTAGTAGCTATGTCGTCATCATGCGTATGACCTTGCAGTTAGTAACAATAGGTAATGTGATATATAAGACATAATTATGTTCTTAGATAGTTGAAAATGCTGTTCATAAAGCCGTAAAGGTCACACACAAAAGAAGCAAATACAGTAATGGACATTTTTCTATTTGTTTGTACCTACAATCCTAATAACTGTACAATTATGCCCATTATATAAGCAAATCTTCCAATTTTGTATAAAAGTGATACTATGAAAAAAGGTTTATCAGTCAGTGTAACAAAATGTCAAACACCTCGATGTGGAACTTGTTCACTGAAGACTGCAAATTTACATTTTGTGAAGGCAAACTACTTACTTTCAAAACTAACATGAACTGCCGCAGCAAAAATGTTATATATGTTTTATTTGTTTTCTGTTGGGCAAATCCAGATGCAGGTAACAGCATGTAGTTAATCTGTGCACCGGACCATAACATATGTTGTTTTAAGCTTTAGTTCTTACGGGATGTAGTTCTTTTGGGAGGACACCATGGGACCCATGAAGATCCGGGTTAGAATTGATCTCCAGTAACCCATGCTTGTCGTAAGAGGCGACTAACGGGATTGGGTGGTCAGGCTCGCTGACTTGGTTGACACATGTCATTGTATCCCGATTGTGTAGATCGATGCTCATGCTGTTGATCACTGGAATGTCTGGTCCAGACTTGATTACTTACAGACCGCCGACACATGGGGCATTAAACAACTAACAAATGGCTCCCTCAAGTATGTGCCATAAGTGACTGTATATGTTATAGTGAATTGGGTTTAACTGGACTTTTAACAGTATCCTAATTGTTATATCATAACATGTAACCTTGATGCAGGTCGAAAACCTGAAGTGATGAAAGTTTCAGACGTTGATCACACTTGTGAAAAAAACCATGCAAACAACATCCTCGATAATCTCCTGAGTATAAGTTCCGATAAATCTCCACTATACCCTGGATGCCTCACGGCTTGGCCCGATAATTTTATTACCTCCCTTTGCTAGCTTTTTATCCAATCAGGCGTCTAGGCTAGGAAGTTGAGCATACCAATCACAAGGCTTCTATCAGAACTCACTTTGGCTTCTTTTATCAAACCGATTAAACTTGGCAACACAATTGTTGCAGAGGTACTCTGAAAGAGGTAGAAGGGGTTCTTGCATATATTTTTTGAAGGTTTCAGACCAGTCAGTTTGTCTGCATCAAAGCTCGCTGATGCGGCCGTTATCTTTGTTGACACTGGCAATGTCAGTTGTAACGGCTTGTCTGACTGGCTACTGTAAGAAGGCGTATCCAGCAAAGGGAGGTAATAAAATTATCGGGCTGAGCCGTAGATACATAGAGGGTACTAGTGGAGATTTATCTGAACGTATACCCTGAAGATTATTGAGGACGTGCACACAACAGCCCACAACCATTGGTCCCTGGCCTCCCAAGGGACACAACTCTGCACAATGAACAGAGGCGCTTTAAAGGGGATGGCCACCTGCAATCCATGTTTTTGTATCAACCATGAAATATCACACATAATTCATTGTAGGCCAGAAGTTATTCTCTAATAATGTTCAAATTCTTTATTTACCTTCGGGTTTAATAACGTTTTCCTTTTCTCTTAAAACCTGACATTTTCCTTTCACTAGTATATTAACGCCAACAAACCTTGAATCATGAAGTCCTTGATGACTCTGTGGAAGATACTGCCAGAATAGCCAAATCCTCTTGAGCCAGTTGCCAATTGTAAAAAGTTGTCAGTCGTTAAGGGTACTGTTTCTCCAAACAGACCAATAACAATGCGACCAGCTGATTCATCCCCGATGTTGATATCAAAGTAGACCTTTTTGGTAACGGTTGTTTCACTAGCCTGAAGAGAGACACCAATTCAATCATCTGATCATCTACTTTGATCACTATGTAATTGTAATTTATATTTTATCTAAAACAATGAAAAGTCTGTTTTGTCACCAGCCTGAAGAGAGACACCAACTCAATCATCAGATCATCAACTTTGATCACGATGTAATTGTAATTTATATTTTATCTAAAACAATGAAAAGTCTGTTTTGTCACCAGCCTGAAGAGAGACACCAACTCAATCATCAGATCATCAACTTTGATCACGATGTAATTGTAATTTATATTTTATCTAAAACAATGAAAAGTCTGTTTTGTCACCAGCCTGAAGAGAGACACCAACTCAATCATCAGATCATCAACTTTGATCATGTAATTGTAATTTATATTTTATCTAAAACAATGAAAAGTCTGTTTTGTGTAATTCATCAGATCATTTTGATCGATGTAAAAACATTTTATAAAACAATGAAAAGTCTGTTTTGTCACCAGCCTGAAGAGAGACACCAACTCAATCATCAGATCATCAACTTTGATCACGATGTAATTGTAATTTATATTTTATCTAAAACAATGAAAAGTCTGTTTTGTCACCAGCCTGAAGAGAGACACCAACTCAATCATCAGATCATCAACTTTGATCACGATGTAATTGTAATTTATATTTTATCTAAAACAATGAAAAGTCTGTTTTGTCACCAGCCTGAAGAGAGACACCAACTCAATCTCTCTTCATCAACTTTGATCGTGATGTAATTTAGGGCTGGGACAGGTAACCCGGATACCCAACTCATTTGGGTAATGAGTTGGACCTGGTGACATAGATGAAACAATGTAATATGTTACTCTTTTATGATTAAAAGGTTGTATTATCTTTGAAGAGATAGACATAATTTACAGTCACTTCTGTTGAATACAATACACGGTTAAGATATTGAAAAACTCGAAATTTTAGCCTCCGAGCTGAAGAATATTTTGCCATTTTTTTGCAAATTTGATGTCAGGAATTAACATATATTATATGTTATCATATAATATATATTATATGTTACCTATTATCAGCTTTTATCACGATGTATCTGCACTCTAAACCACAAGTGTTCAAGCAGAACAGTGAATTTACAATTGATAAATAACTGAATAAGCAACCTCTAAAGTAAACTATCAGAACGCATAGTGTTCCTTTACATTTGATATAATGAACACTTTAGGACGATATCTGTTCTATAAGATTTGATTAGATATCTTTTCAGATGGCGTGTGTTCTGATTAGAACACCTGATGTTCGAACTAAGTGACGTCATGATAAGCATGCGCAGTTGTCTCTTCCCCAACGCTACCGAAAGACGTTTGGCGCTACAGGTCAAAATGAAAATGCTGCCTGTGATTCAGCTTATCAAAGACAAACCAAGACTCCATCAGGGTGGCAAAGACCGCAAAGAGGTCAATAATAGAAGTTAAAAGGGTGAGTGGTATATTAAAATTCATGTGTTACATTATTTTATATCCTGTAATGTAAGGAAACTTATCATTAAGTAGGTGGTTACAAAGATTCTTCCACCATGTACAAACGTGAATTGCATATTCTTACAAAATGGAACCTGTTTTGTATTGACTGAAACCGTTGGATAAGCGTTTTTCATATCTGTTTGTGGGTAAAATAAAACAGTATTTTCATTCAAATTTGTGTGTCATGAAATAGAGTTCAGTTGAAATTTGAAATCATCATATCTTTCAAATGAATTATTTAGTGTAAAATTGTATTATTTATTGTAAGATGTGACCGTTGATCAGATTGACGGAGCTCTGAAGACAAAAGCCTCAGAGGGTCCAAAAATCGTCGCTTTCATCAGGGGTGATGCTCTGGCCGGCCTCCACATCGCCCTCGACACTGTATCATGCGAGGTGAATGTCGAGGTGGCATCATGGCCGCGATCTTGAAACTGATGGCGATGTACTACATTTTCCAGGGCATACTCGGTGATTTTGTAGGTTCAGAGAAATCGGGGACATTATCTCATCCTTGCGCGACCCTGAGATGTATATGAGCTCTTTATTCAACGATTTCTTCAACTTTAACTGCATATGTTATAAGATGTGCACGAGTTGTTGGAGTTAAAGTTAGCTTCTTCTCCTACACTCCATTTAGCTGTCCGCGGTCCATCAAACGGATAATAACACGTCTTCGTATTCAGTATAGGTGTTAATAAAGTTTTGAATCATTTCATATTCTTGTGTTTTTTATTCGTTCATGTTTGGCTGGTGGAAGTGTGAGAACACCAGTGTTCTGAAATAAGGCTCAGAACACTCAAAGGGCGTTCTAAATCTGTTACAGCGTCCGAGGCGTCCGGGGGTGTTCTGAATTGAACACATACAGAACACACAAAGAGTGTTCTGAAATCTAGAACACGAGCGTTCTGTAAGTGGAACACGACTGTTCTGAAGGCAGAACACATAGTGTCTAAATCAGAACACTCCGACTGCGTTCTAAATCTGTTACAGGAAGGGTGTTCTCATAGTGTTCAGAACTAGAAAACTTAGATTCAGAGTGTGTAATTCATATTTTATCTAAAACATTGAAAAGTCTGTTGTGTCACCAGCCTGAAGAGAGACACCAACTCAATCATCTGATCATCAACTTTGATCACGATGTATCTGTAATTCATATTTTATCTAAAACATTGAAATTTTTGTGTATACATGAGCTTTAGTAAACATTATTATTGAAATAATGACATGGCAGGGTCCAGCATATGTTTGACCATCAAGAACATTGATACAGAGTAGTCCAATCTTCTGTGTTTCAGCACCTATATTATCAAAATATTCTAAGTGTTAGGTTTGGGCTCTTACTAAGACTTGCAGCTTTTGTAAATAATATGTTTAACTGTCTAAAACAAAATGTATTGATATAAGAACATTGTTGCAAAGATAATAAAATTCAAAACACTCAGTCAAAGAGTTGGTGAAGAACTTAGTTACAAACTGCCAACAATGTATCAAGATATGTGACATTATTTGAATAAGCCATTGCTATCCAGTGTGTTATTACTAGGGCTGTGCAATATAACCGGTTTACCGGTATTTACCGGTTCAGACATGAAAATGATATATATTGCGTTACGCTGATCGAAAACCGGTATTTTGACATGCATTCGGAAAACTTCGTAACACTCGGAAATCTTCGGATGTTTCCATTTTTTTTCTAATTCCTTTCCTTTTTTATTTGTGGCAACTATTGTTTATATTTTTATTAAAGCTTAATCAAGCATAGTCATTTTTTGTGTTTTTGCTTATAAATCAAGCATTAATTTGATTATAAGTAGTTTTTTTTGTTAAAAAAGAACTTCATGCAATATATTGCAATACATATCGCAATATATGCTTTCGCATCGCAATATATCGCAATATGAAAATTCTCTGCAATACCCATCCCTAGTTATTACCATACAGATAAATCAGAATACACAAACTGGTTGTGTTGATACAGACTGACTGTTTTATTGTGTGCTGAACATCAAAAATGAAACATTTATTGCTTTTCAAAGTTAAAATACTGACACAGATTACGGGTATTTTAAAATGAAATTTGATTTTTATCTGCAACCTAATCTTCGTTATTTTAAAAATTATTTGATTAAGGTCAGCAAGCAACTGTGAGGGAGTCAATATGGTGTAAACCACATTTAACAATATTCCACCTGTATCAGTCCGTTACCAGAAAGGGGTTGCACACAATGTATACAGGTAGGGAATCACATCTGGGACTTCGGCATGATGAGAAACATCTCCCAGCTCAAACATCAAGAAAAACAGACTTAGTGGAGTGAGGGTTTGCAAAAAGATCTTTCTCATCTGTCTGTACCACCAAATTTACTGCCCCTAGCCCCCTGCAGTTCTTGAACCACCCCTGAGTGTTTTTATAAATAACTACTGAGTATCCAATCAGTATATATTCAGGCTGTATGATGAATTTGTAGACGTAATTGTGCTCTTATTCAAAACCAGCAAACTTTCATGGAACTTTGACACGATTATGATATTTGTTTACCTATACCCAGAAAACTTACAAATATATCAGGACAGAGAAGATGGTATGGTTGTTCTTGAACAGCATCTGGAAACTACTGCAAGTGACCATAATGATAACAAAATATATATGGCTGGTGATTTTAATGCCAGAACAAAAGACTTTGATGACTTCATACAAGATGACAATATTAACTTTGCCTATAGGTAAGGTGATGACATTGATGGATATCCATCAGACGAATTTTGTATGCCAAGAGCGAACAAAGACACTGATTATAATAATTACGGCATAAAACTGACCGAATTATGTTGTACTTTTGGGATACATTTATTTAATGCCTGACTTTTTAATGATAAAGATGGCAATTTTACATGCTTTACACAATGGTCAGAGTGCTGTTGATTATATGCTGGCATCAACAGATATATTTCCAAAGGTAACATCTTTTGGTATAGCTGTGCGTGATGAGTCTAACCATTTTCCATTGTAATGTTCTTTAAGAATTCAACTGGATAATGGTAATGTACAGGACTGACTGACTGACTGTGTTTGTTTTTACGCCGCTTTTAGCAATATTCCAGCAACATCACGGCGGGGGACACCAGAAATAGGCTTCACACAATGTGCCCATGTGGGGATTCGAACCCGGGTCTTCGGAGTGACGAGCCAACGCTTTAACCATTAGGCTACCCCATCGCCCCGGTAATGTACAGGAAGGATGACCAGGTTGATGTAAATGTGTCTGAAAATGGCACTGATGATGTCAACGAATGGTCAAAATATGTATGGATAGGAAATGACAGTCAAATATTTACTGATAAATATTTGTGTAATCTATCTGAAGTTTATGAAGATTTGTGTGAGCAGATTTATACGGACACAGACAAAGCTTTAGCATCTATTATTAGCATCTACCAATCAACAGCAGTCAATTCTAAAAGGATTTATCGGAGTAGTTGGGGTAGAAGTAATAGTCA